TACTGATATACCCAACACATAAAACTTGTTGATGTAAAGTTTCACAAAGTTGAAACTCAAAAACCTTAATTATATTATAATCCAGCCAGCTGCAACTCAAACTAAAAATTGGTATAAAAATTGTAACACTAAAAAACCAAGAATGACTATATGGTTAATTTATACAAAGAGATATGATTGTGTTAGTGGCATATATGGAGTATATATAGGGAAATGGTGTTGTATATATGTATGTATATATGTATATGGTGTGTTTGCATCACTACTGGAAATTATGGAATTTCCGACCACCTGAAAATGATCTTAAATCAAGTCGAAAGCCTTGTTCCGACCACTTTTGGTATCCGGAAAAACCTTTGTTGCTATTTTCGACCACTTTTTACTTTCAACTTGATATAAGATCACTTTCAGGTGGTCAGAAATTTCATAATTTCCAGCCGTGTTGGGTAGATAGGGCAGGTGAAAGGAGGGTGCAGGCTAAAGGCAAATTAAAGGGTTTAAATAGTGATAGGAGATGAGAGAGCACCCAGAAAAGGCGCAAGCTAAATGTGAACAAATTGGGATGGTTTATGGGAACTTGGTGTAGGGTAACAGATACAAAAAATGGTACTTGAGAGAGCAACATACAAAGTAGCTATTAACCTCTGCCTTTATCACCAGTGGTCCATCTCTCCCAATTGTACCACCATCACCTGCTACTGCTACAGCATGCATTTCAAGACTATATATTGGACCATATATATTTAGTTTTAATTTACCACAATATATAATTGTAGGGTATGTGGGAGAAAGGGTTCAGTTAATTTAATTTGGTTTATAAAGTCTGATCGATTAACTTTTTCAGTTAGACTACGAGATGTCTTTGAGTAATATTAATAATAGGAGACATTTTTAAGTACCTAACATACTCAGATTATAATTGGTCGATTGACTTTTTACATTATCTAAACTTATATAGAATATATTACTATTGAAAAAAAAAACATTTGTTTTTGCTACTACATATACTCATATAGATTTTACCAAGTTCGGGTTTGTAGAGTTTGACTATTATTACTCAAGAAAAGTTTGGGTTTTCATAGATCTTTAATATTGCACGCACACACTATATATAAGAGTTGATTCTTCAACCGAACTTGTTATTGTATCGACAATTCATTTATAAACTGTACCAAATTACTAGGTTAATTAAAAGGAGAAAGATTCCAACTTCTCTTATTTTGGTGTTGTCATGCCTAAAAAAGAAGTTGGGGAGGGATGGAACCATTTATTTTCTTTAATTTTTAATCACTTAATATGACTTCTATTATTGGAAGAAAGCACCGAAAATTTTGCTATATGTATAATTACAGATTTTTTTTTTTCCCGAACTTAAAAACATCGAAGAAGTACGTAAGACAAATATGGAATACATAAAGGAACCTACATTTGTGAAGATACTTGGATTTAGGGTTAATTCATTATTAATAGATGGGGAATGGGCTTGGGGTCCAATAATGATTGTGATTATTGATTAAGGGATGGGGACGCGTGTCCTACTTAAAAAAAAAAAATTCAGTTTCAATTTACTTCTAAATATCAAAAATCAATAAACTAAAAATTCAGAATCAATGAACGAACTAAAAATCCAGAATCAATGAACGAACTAAAAATCCAGAATCTATGAACTTAAAATCCAGAATGAATGAACAACATAATGCTGTTGAGGGGAATCAGAACTGATTTTTTATTTTTTAAGTGGACCGCGCGCTTTTAGTCAAAACGACGTCGTTTTTGCATCCGTATGCATGGTGCACACGGATGCACAACATAACGATTGGAATTTAGTCTTTTAGTTTGGTTTATATCTTCACTTTTTACTCTTAATTAAGATTTAGTATTTACACTTTAGGTTTATGATTTATTTATTTATTGGTTAAGTTTTAAGGTTTATTCAAAAATGTACTCTATATAGTTTAAAAAAATTTATATTCTATAGTGTTTTTAAATTACACATTTAAAGTTGAAGAAAATTATCAGAACAACAATACATCCCGTTTTTCTTTTAAATTGGATCAAATCCATTAAATTTTTAAAAATGGATACTAGTGTTTTCTATACATTTAAGCCTAAATTGCAGCTGTTTGTTAGAAAGATAATTAATTAAGTTGGATTGGTGGTCATAGATGGAAGTAGTCACCCAATGAGAAGATAGCAGAACTGGACCTCCATATATCATATCATATCAAGACTTGTGACCAAGTAAACACGCTACTATACAAGATTACAAACAACTCAACAAATCAAAGTATTTTCTACGATTATCTATCAATTCATCAACTAAATGCGTAACGCACTATTTCCGTGGGCTCCTTATGCTCGCTGGAATTAATCTCACCACTTTTGTGGTCCAATTTTCGCATTTTTCCTGGTGGCTGCCCCGAGTCACACGGGCTTAGCTCAATAGTTCAATAGACAGTATTTGGTAAAAGAAACCTTAATATTTACTCTCGGCGACAGTAATGTGGGGATGGACTATTGAATCATCGTGATTTAGATCCTCTTAAATGCTTTGTCGGATCAAGGTGTTAGGGGCCCTTGGGGTTGAGGATTCAACTTGAAAGAAGAAGGAAAATAAAAATACAAGAGAAAAATATAAGCATTTTAAAAAAAATTATAAATGTGTATTTGTAAATATATTTTTTTCTTCTATAATATGTATAAACACTAATTGTCTACTAATTTCTTTTTAGGAAATATATTTTTGTCTTTTCTTTTAAATGAAAGAGATGATTTTAAAACATTTTATATATATAGAGTTTCATAAGTGTTTTAAGAGGAAACATTTTAATCGTGAAAAAGTTCACCTTTAAGAATTTATGTGTATCATAGGCTATGAGATAGAGTTTTATTGAATTGTCACACACTCAGTTCTTAACATTTAGAAATTAAAGTTAGAAAAGAAAAATAATGTTTGTGGTGTATTTACTATGTAACAAAGATATAATAATGTAAACTTTAATTTATTATACTTTTTTATAGGAATGGAAAATGTTGGTGACATGTCTATTTTAATTAATTAATGATCATTATTGAGCAAAGATTTAAAACACCAAATCAAGAATCAAGAATTCTATCACAAAACATCACATTTTTTACTATTAACTATAACTTTTGACGTTATAATAATCGTTTAGTCCTAATAATAACTTCAATTCTATGCAAATGGCAAAACCAAAAATGACTTCATTTCGTTGACTAAGAATGTTCAAAGGTTGTAAATAGTTAGAATTTCTCCATAACTTTTGTCTCCTACAATGAAGTTTCTTTAAGAATTTATAAAACTATTTTAAGTCTTTCTCAAATAAGACATTTTTTTTTATGTGAGAAGTTTCTTGCCTTCTTGGAACGTTTGTATCAACGACATTGTAATTGGATGATGATTGGACGGTGTTCCTCTTTTAACTGACATATCAAGTCTAGGTTTTGTTGACGTGGGCTTTCAACACATGTATAATTTCAGCTAAATTAATACTCCATTTTTCTCACACTAGTATGCCAAGTTGGTTGACAAAAAATTTATACAAGATTTATTATTTATTTATTTTTTTGCAACTGAGAGACACAGAAGATAATTATTATAATCTAACTCTCCAAGACGAAGTGCCAACAGTATCAAGTAGAAGAAGGATTTTTAACCCATTCGATTTGATTAATTCGATAACACAAAGTTCGATTCAATTAATTCGATAATATAAAGTTCGGTTCGATTAATAGTTAAACTTTAAAAATTTCAGTTAAAATGGTTCGATTAACCGATTGCACACCCTAAAACCCGAACTATTAAAGCTTGGAGAATAAAATGGCCCGTTTGACAAACTTGTTGGCTTTTGGGCCTTATTTTGTGGGCTAACTGTTATGTATTACATATATACCCATTTGCCAATAAAAATAAAAATAAAAAAATAATAAAAAAAATAAAAAATAAAAAATAAAAAAGAAGAAGTGTCTTGCTTATAAGTTATAATTAGATTGATCAATTTTAATAATTATAGTTTAATATATTCAAAATAAAAATTAAATATTGAAAAACTATACATTAAGTATTATTAGTAGTTTCAAAAGTTACAAGTATAGTAGGTTATGATAATGTAAATTAGAGCAAGAGCATTGGTCAATATTCACACTATAATGGGGAGAGTAAAATGATATTGTTAATGAATAATGCTCAATAGTAGGAGAAAGACACTATGCGACACAAGGATTGAGTGGTCAACTTGGAAGGTCTAATAGCTCCACTCTGATTAATACAATGAGTATAAGTGTTGTTATAAGATGTGAGATGCTCCAAATGAGAGTCGAATAAGATATTTATACTATATTTAAATGACTTATATGTTACAATGAGTTGAAGGGTCTTTTAAGTGGATTAACATAGCATTTTTTTTTTTTTTTTTGAAAACAACATAGCACTTTTTTTTGAAAATTTTAAAATTAATTATCAATTTAACAAGGATCATACTACATGGACCAACAGCCCCGACAATGGTGGAGCCACATGGGTGGGTAAGGGGGTTGATGGGGCTATGGGATTTTGGAGTCCATTTTATTGAGAAAGTCTTGACTCAAAGGTTGGTCTAAATCTTGTTAGGCTAGGAAGACATGGTGACCCAAAAAAGGATCCCACCTCTTCCCCACTAGGTAGAGCTCTCTATTTATAGTAAGTGGGAAATAGACATAATGACAGTAAATATTGTCATAGCTGATTTGACATCCCTTGATTGGACACTCAGGTTGGTTATGACATGTGTAAGTTGTTGAGGTGACGACATAGTTGGCCTATCTAGTAATGATAGTCGGGATGTACACTAATATTTAGGTCGGCAAATCTTTTGATAAGGGGATCGATCAATCAATTGACACGGAAACAGTAAGTAAACATACATACTCTTTTGAGATCAAAAAATGCACATTTAGTCCCTCTAAAATAAGGAAGTAGGCTACCAATAGCAAGTAACTCTGAGCAATAATTTTATCCTCTAATGTCCCTTGTGAGTTGTGACCACTAAAAGAAATGACCGGCCTTTTCTCAACACTCCTCCCACCCTCCTCGTCTCCGGTCGTGTGCCGGAAACCGTACAGCCCAACTTCTGTCCGGTGCTGCGACGACGACGCCACCGCTCGCGTAAACATCAAGCCTCCAGACTACAACGGTTTCCCCGAAAAGATTCTCAAGCATAATCCCGCGACCGTGAAGCCGCCTCGGCCGCGTAGAATCATCCTCGTACGACACGGACAGAGCCAGGGAAACGTGGACGAGAGCGTGTACACCAGAGTAGCCGACCCGAAAGTCGGGATAACGGAGCAGGGCGTTGCCGAAGCAGAGGAATGTGGAAGGAGAATTAGAGAAATGATTGAGAAAGACGAGGCAGAGGATTGGAAAGTGTACTTCTATGTGTCCCCTTACAGGAGAGGACTCGAAACTCTCAGAAATTTGGCTAAGGCATTCGAGCGTTCAAGAATTGCAGGCGTCAGAGAAGAACCTCGTTTAAGAGAGCAAGATTTTGGTAACAACTAACATATATAGTCACCGGTTTTACTTTTATGTTTATGTATAGATTGGAATTGAAGTTGAGTTGAATTGTTTGTGAAGGGAATTTTCAAGACAGGGAGCAGATGAAGATTGAGAAGGCGGTTCGAGAACGATACGGGCGGTTTTTCTACAGGTTTCCCAATGGGGAATCAGCAGCTGATGTGTATGATAGAATTACAGGTAGTTCTGGAGCTAATGTTGTTGATCTTAAACTGAGTTTTTGTGCATGTTTGTTTTGAGGTTGAATTGAATTGTAGGATTCAGGGAAACACTTAGGAATGATATAGACATAGGGAGATTTGAGCCACCTGGGGAGCAGAGCCCAAACATGAACTTAATCATGGTATCACATGGTCTTACCTTGAGAGTTTTCTTGATGAGATGGTACAAGTGGACTGTTGAACAGTTTGAAGGGCTTCACAATATTGGCAATGGCAGTATGGTTGTCATGGAAAGAGGTTATGGTGGAAGGTAAATAGTATAGACTGAAGAGTTTCTGTTTTTAATATATGCATAAATGTGAATAATACATGCATGCAGGTACAGTCTGCTAATGCACCACACCAAAGAGGAGTTGATGAAGTTTGGATTAACCGACAAAATGCTAATCGATCAAGAATGGTAAAGATGATGTTTTTATTTGCTAGTACTACCTCCCATTACTTGAGTGTGTAAACCCCCGGCTCAAACCAAGAAAACCAATAGTCGAACTTGTAACCTTATGGTGATCAAGTCAATAGGCTGGGGGTTGTCTCCTAAGTCCTATCTTCATTCATTAACTAGATGTGAATGTTATTGCATTGGTTTGTGATGAAGGCAAAAGATAGCTAAGCCGGGAGAGCTAAATTACGATTGCCTGATTACTGGACCATCCTACTTCACTCACTTTGATGATGACAACAAGAATTGAGACTGCATGTTTGAAAGAAAATTGATGGAGATGAAGCTCAGACAGGGGCTGCATTTATGCATGAAGCTTTGAAGATGAAATGGTTGCCAGGTCTGGGTGTTTTACAAAGACAAAAGTCAACCAATATGTACACACAACACTGTTATAACACTAATGGATGGTGTTAATGTGTTATTACCTTGGAAATATGAACATAAAAAAAAACACTTAAAAATCTGTCCTGTTGCTAATATAATGAGGTTGCATATTTCCAGCAAAAGGTTTTGGTTTTGCCCTAACTGACAATCTTCACGGTAGCTAATGCATGATGAGGATGTCAGCTGAACACAGAGGTTAGACCTAGACCCTTGTTTCTGCGCACAAAGAGCCCCCTTCCTTTGAGAGGTGTGGGGCCACTCACTGCCGCCGGTGAGACTTGATCTCTGGTCATTCTTCCCAAACTTCACCCTTATGACCAACTGAGCTGTCCATGCGGGCATGCATGCAGTTCATGTCAATAACTAGCCTCAATGTTGCTAGTTAATTACTGTAAAATTTATAGTCATGTGTAGATGATACCAAAAGGAAGGGGAAAAATACCAATTATTCTTCTATTTGACAGGCAAGTAACAGTAAGAGTTAATAGTCACATGTTAATAACAACACTAATTTCACTGACATGCAAATCTCAAGAGTTCTCAATTGTTGCGGTCACAATGCGCATTTGGCACAGCTGCTCGGGCTCACTATTCCGCCTCCAGAACGCCCTTCTCCACCAAATCTCGAATCCCCTCTGAATATTTGGGCAGTCATCACCCGAGTTCAAAAACCGATTAAACCAAGACATTAAAATTTCCTGTTGCAAGGCCATAGGCAGTGTTAGAATAGTACTGCTGAGACCATCCTCGATTAAATGCTTGTCAAGGCCTTTCGTCGCCCTCCTCATCCATCCGAAATCCTCGTAGAATGGAGTCAACCATGTCTGCAATAACAAGCACCTCAAGTCCTTGGAAGCTAACAGTTGCCCTTTCCCAATCCCGACAAACAGCCTGGCCGTTACCCTGCTAACCTCGTATCTATGAACAGCAGGCACTCTACAATGTGCCTCGGACAATTCAGACTGCGAAGCCCAAGTCCTCAAAAACTCTTCAGCAACCTGTCTATCGATCAAAATATCCAAAAGCCAGTGCAAATTATCAGCCTGCCGAGCAATCTGGCTGACATCTTCGAGGTCTCCCCCAGCTGCCCGAAGAAAAACGTTGCAGAGCAATTGCAAGCACGCATCACAAGCCGAATAAAGCGACTCCTTCCTCAAGTCATTTTGAGACGAATTCTCCCGTAGCATTTTCGACACTAACCCTTTCATCTCCCGCCTCGCTTTCTCATCCTTCCCTTCGAGAACCACATGCAATAACTTGAGAAGAACCTCCTCGTTGCCATCTCCATCCTCCGTCCCACCCACAACATCAAGAGACACCCTCTTTAACACTTCCCCTGCACCAATTCCTTCGAGGTGAAGCTCAGATAAGACCGACGCTACTTTTTCTTCCTCGTCCTCCGCCCAGGGAGCAGCTTCTAAGTACTCCAAACATGATAGAACTCCAGCATTAAACCCAATTGCTGCAGAAATCTGTATAACAATGCTATTAAGCCAATACCCATACCTCAAATGTCTATCAAAGTTTATTCTACTTGTTCACATATATAGTCTCAAAGATAATCTCTTTCATGAAACCCTATGCTCATTTATAGAAGCATTCAAAATAGCATACATTAACTACCAGAATAATCAAACTCAGCTGGTTATAGATAGCAACATTTTTTTCAACCCACATGCAAGGAGATATGTATAAATGGTTAATTGCTGTAAATTAGTTGAGTTATAGATAATAATTAAAAGAATTAAAGTTTAGATTAAGTAAAATGTGAGGGATTAGTGCAAGAATTACCTTTAAGATTCCTAGAACTTTAGGGACATCTTCTTTAATAAGCTTCTTCTTTAAATCCTTGCAATACATTAGCCTGAGAGTCTCTATGTAAACTTCAATGTCATCACAATCAGCAATCTCCACAATGTATGGACCCGAATTGCTTGGTTGCTTAGCCCGTTTTTCCGGTAATTTTAGGGCAAAAAACACACTATGTGCCACCAAGATCTGGCTGTGGACATTGATGGAAACGGTCAGGCCATCCTTGGAGCTCAATGTCACATTGACGTCACTGGAAGACGAGTCATTGAACTGATTTCCGGGGCTCCGACATGCCAGAAGATCCGAAAGCCGCTGTTGCAGCAATGCCTGCTTGTCTTGGATTATGAGAGAATTAGGCCTCTGGTTTAGGGTGGAGACGAAGCCGTTGGGAATCTGGGGCGCCGATTTGGGGAGGCGATCGGGCTCGCTAGCCATCATCTCGAACAGGGTGGGGCTGGCGCGGGCCTTGTCGTCGGAGGGCGGCGGCGACATTGGGTTGAGGAGGCCGGCGGTGAGAGCGGAGTTGAACTTGCTGAACGACGAGGAGAAGGCGTCGTGGTTGGCGACGGTGTTGGAGCCGCTGTAGACGACGGAGGCGGCGGCGGCGAGGGAGTCGGCGACGTGGGGCAATGCTGCTGCGGTGGGGGAGTACCGGATCTTGAAATTGGACGGCGACGACATGGCCGGCCGGAGGAGATGCCGACAGAAACAATGGAAGAGTGTCAAATCAGAGTAGAACCGCCGGAAAAAATGAAGGTAAAGTGTAAGGAAGTGCAAGAAGGCGGCCGGGGATGCGGTAATGGTGATCTCACGGAAACGACGCCGTGTGGAGATGTTAGTTTGGGTCCGAAATTCGAGTGCAGTAAGAGTGGCTTAGATATAGCCGCTGTCCGTTAGAGATATTCATTCAATAAGACAATACTCCATAGCCTATTGCGATGAAAACGAGATTTTGCAATTTAATTGGCATAAAATAAGGGTTTTTTTTTTTTTTTTCTAAATAATAATAATAATACAATTTTTTTTTTTTTATTCACAAGCCATTCTGCTGTATTAAATTTGTCATCTTGTGGTTATCCAATAATCTATCTGATCAACTTGACTGAAGTATTTATAAAAAATACGGAGTACAATTTTGGTCTCTATATTATAAGCTTTAATTTATTTTGTTTAATGGTTTTGATTATTTTCTTTTCAGAAAATATAAATTAGGTTTTTGAACTAATTTATTGGAGACCGTTAATTTCGTTAGATGACAACTATTACAAGACACTTCAAAATCGTTTATTATGTACAACAAAACAAAACATGGAGTTAACCATTCTATCAATTTGAGAACAAAAATTGTTACCTTGCGAGAAAAATCAAATATTAAAGTAGTCATGTCCAAAACACAAAAAGCGTATTTGGTAAATAGTTGTTAGTTGATTGGATTAGTAGAGTTTGACTCAGTGTTGCATAGATCGAGCCTAGACGTCGATTAATCGACGCATAGGAGCTAGGCGGTCCCCAGGCGCCTATCGATTTTTTCAACATTGGTTTGACTAGTTGATATCAATAGCTGATTGTATAAAAATGTTTGGTAATTAACTGTTAGTTGATAACTAATTACATTCACAAAAGGTGATCACTTGTTGACTTCTCCATGGAAAGCCGACCACCAATTGCCTTCTCCATGGAAGGCGGGCAATTAGCCGCCTTCTCTAGTAGATGAATTTTCGACGGATATGATGCCTGATTTGAAATTACTTATAATAGCAAGTTATTTACCGATTCATTGTCTCAATTTAACATCTTAAACAATGTAATTGTACTTTTTAAAAATTTAGAGACTTAATTTACATTTCAAGTAAAGTTTAGAAGTTTATTTAATCATTTCTCCAATAAAAAATACTCATATTTTGTCAATTTAACTTTTAGATAAGGACTCACTTTCTACCAAAGAAAAACAAAAGTTTGATTCTCTAAGTCCCCTTACAAAATGGAGTAAAAGGATAATTGGATAACAAACTTTCCTATAAAAGATTTCAACTCATATTTAGTGCCGACAACATTTTAGGATTAGTACATACATAGAGTAAAACACACACACACATATATATATATATATATATATATATATATATATATATATATATATAGTTTGATCTATCCATAAATTTAATTAGGTTGTTGAGGGTGGGGAAAGAATATAAAGTTTGATATAGCAGGTACGAATTGAACAATAATTTGTTTGTTACATTTATCATGTCGGATTGTTATAGTTTAACTGCATCTACCTTTCCCTGCCATTGTACTGTTCATCTTCATCCTTTACGCATGTTCATATAAAAGCTTTTCACATAAATGACTCCATAATATTACAACTCACAAGAACCCCTTAGGCATTAACATGTCACGTGAAAATGATACGTGCATCACTTGACCTTAATTATTAAGCGCTGTCGTACATAAAACAAAATTTGTTCCATTTGTTAATTATTATCAAATTTGATTTGTTTCGTTTTAAGTTCCTGCCATTTAAAATATTATACTTTTAGTTTAAAGTGTTTAAAATGCTCTTAAACATGATGAATATATTGAAAACGATTCAAGAGTAGGGACTCAGGGTTCAGTAGGAATGGCAACGGGACGGGACGAGATGGGGAGGGGTATCCCTGTCCCCGTTCCCGTCCCTGTCGGGGAATTTCAAAAATTCTCCATCCCCGTCCCCGATCCCCAAAATATTTTCCCGTCTCCGACGGGGACGGGGCACATTGTCATCCCTACGATTCAAGAGCGCATAACCCGGGGTCCAAAAAGATAACTCGAGCGGTCCAAGAAGAGTCAAGAACCCGAAGCCCGTCTCTGGGCCTAGAGTGATGGGTTTTGACTTAGTCTTGTGGTCCAAGAAGAGTCAAGAACCCAAAGCCTATATCTGGGCCTAGAGTGATGAGTCTTGACTCAGTTTTGCGGCCCAACACATAGGCCTTGACTTAGTCTTATGGCCCACCATGAAATTAGCTAATTCAATTGAGATTTTCTTGTATAAAAGGCCATTGTCTTATCATTACAAATGATGTTCAAATGTTCAATCTCCCTACATGACATTCTATGTTCTAATTAATATCTCTCAATTATTACACAATCTCCTTGTAATACATTCAAGCATTAACTTTCAAAAAAAAAACATTCAAGCATTAATCCATGATTATTGTTATATTCATCTTTTATATCAATGAAATATTATTGCCATCATATTATCCTTACTATTTTTACCGCTTTATA